TAGCATCGTCAAGCAGCAAGAGGTGGACTTTCGGGGGGGGGGGGTACTCATGAAAGCACATGCTGTAGCCGTGAGATAGTCATTGACCTCGCATCCTTACTACGCCCGGTGTACTCGTCTAAAGGCGTGCCGTAGTCATTGGAAGATCGTTGACCTCGCATTCTTAAACAATGCCGGGACCGAGCAATATACGCCCGGTCTAGGCTACGTGTCACGAGGATGACGGGGACGGGGGGGGGGAGTCGTGTGTTTTCTCGCGCGACAAGTCGCCAACCAACTACTTTGCCTGGTTGGAAACAGACGTTGAAGAGTTTTTGAACAGTTTGCGCAAGCCACCAATGGGACTTGTCGATGTTTCCTGTTGAAACACGTCAAGGGTTCTTCATGACACTTGACTCTTTCGAACGTTTCGTGCTCTCGCTTTGCCTGCGCAGTCACCGCCTGATGCACTGGGCACGGGAGTACATCGTGAGCATGTCGCCCGGGTCGGGAATAGGGGGAGAGGGCGTCATGTCCCCTCCCCCCCCCAAGCCCCACGAGGTGCTCATGGCGGCGTGGGAGTACACCATCGGGGAGAAGGCGAGCGTGTTACCCCCCCCCCCCCCCCCATTTTTGGCGAGTTCCTGTCCGCTGTGTCGCGGGGATGAACCCGATGTTGTGGATGCTGCTGCTGCAGTTGTTGCCGCAGTTGGTGCTGGCGTTGCCCTCGCTCTTGCTGGTGCTATTGTTGGTATTCTTCGTGTTTGTAATATGAATCGAGGGTGCCAAGGGTCTCAACATACAAGAAAGAGTACACCACATGCCTAGGTTAAACCTCTAGTTGCTGCCGCTACTGTTGTTGTTGTTGTTGTTGTTGTTTCCGTCGTTTCTGCTAATGTCCCTGTAGCTCTTGAGACTTCTGTTGTTGATTTTCGCAGACTCGTGCGGTTGCCCCCCTAGGGTCTTCACAGACTACACCAAGAACCTCTCTCATTTCCCAACGCTTTTGCGCCCTGCGTTTCTAGCATATTGACAACCAATGAAATAGTAGTCTTGCCGCGAGTGTGGGAGAAAACTTGCTGAATACCAGTTTATTTGTTGAGTCTGTGTGAGCCTTCCGCACTGGTTTTTCAGAGATGCCAGCTGCCGTGCTAGTCACAACATCAAACTGTATTGGCTCTATTGTCCCCATTTTTTGTTTGTTTTTGCGCCAGGTGGTCGGTAGCAGCACGGCCTGCGTGGCAGCGCTGGACTACGACCTGGAGCAGCTGAGCTTCAGCAACATCGGAGACTGCGGGGTCGTTGTCCTGCGGCACATCGACTCGAATGTTGCGGGCTACATGAGGGAGAAGAAAACGCCACGGCACCTGAGAGAGTGAGTTACGGTTTTTGATCGAGATCCGTGTAGGTTTCGATATGGAGTGGCGTGAGTTAGATGCTTGGAGAGGATGCTTCCGCCCCCCCCCCAGCGAGTGAGTTCCGGTGTTTGGTTGAGATCTGTGAAGGTTTGGATATAGGATGACGCGTGTTGGGTGCGGGGAAAATGAGCTGCCGCGCCCCCCTCAAGAGTGAGTTCCGGTTGTTGACCGAGGTCTGTGTAGGTTTGGATGTATGGTGGCGTTTGTTGGGTAGGGGAAGATGGTCATACAGCGCCCCCTGTCCAGCGAGTGAGTTCCTCTTCGATCCATGTTGCTTACATCCAAACAGGGGTTGTTCTTGGAGTAGCACCTATTATTGTGTGTATCCACTAGCTTTCGGGATTTCGGGATCCGCTGGTAACTTGTGCCTTTCATTCTGCCTGCACCTGTCGCTCTCTCTCCCTTCCGTGTGTGCGGAACAGCTCTGACCTCCGATTGGCCTTCATCTCTCAGCAGCAGCTGCGGTCCTTCAACCTCCCGTACCAGTTTGGCTACACCAATGTCCCCGAGGTGAGTAAATTGATGTGGTGTGCAGGGCTACGGTTGCCCCCCCCCCACCGGGATAAGGAAGTAAGCACAAGATGCCGAACACCCTTAGCAGGATGCAGCTCACCCTTCATGCGACTCGCCAAATACCTCACGGCGCTTCGCGCTTGGTGATGTGAGAGCCTGGTCCGGTGAGAACCCGGCGTGCTCCGTCCCGGCTTTGTAGGGATGCGAGGTCAATGGTCAAAGGACTACGGCATGCACGACTATGAGTACACCCCCCCCCCCACCGGGATAAGCCAATTTCATTACAGTCGCGGCTCCCATATTTCAGGGTACCTTGTACGTTGTGAGAGGGCTCCGAGTGGAAGAGGGTCGGAATGGGTTGTCAAGGGCTGGACCCGCTACAGCTAAATAGTAGTATTAGGTACCCTGCTATTCAGGTATACGAGGGGGCTCCCATGTAGAGGGTCAAGGGCCTTTGTCACAACACCGTCTGGTATTTAAGTCACCACTGTAGCAAGGCCCGAGACCAAATCAGGGCGAGCAATGTTTGTTGGCGGCCTGCCGAATATGTCGCTTCTCTGCCCTGGCTTTACCTCAACGTTGTGAACCCGGAAGCTTCCGCATCCTTACCTTTCACATTGATGCTCATATTGTTGCCCACATTGTTGCCTGTTGTTGTTGTTGTGGTTGTGGTCGTCGTTGATGATGTTGTTGTTGTCTGGTGTTGTTGTTGTCTGTTGTTGTTGTTGTTGTTGTTTGTTGTTGATGATGATGATGATTTTTTTTTGGTGTTCGGCCAGGACAATGCCAACTTCGAAACCCCTCGAGACGCCGTCAACACGTCCTTCCCGGTGAGGCCGGGGGACATCATCATCCTTGCCACCGATGGGCTGTTCGACAACATGGAGCTCGAGAACATCTCGTCGGTGAGGGCCACAACCTTCCTCATCATGCTGTCGGCGTCGGTGTTGTTGTAAATGATGGTATAGTTTCGAGGGCTTATGGTTTGTTTGTTGCCGTGGGGTTGTTTGGGGGGGCCCGTGTCTCTCACGCGAAGCGAGGGCCATAACCTCGTCATGTTGTTTCGATTGCCAGTGTTGGTCGCCGTGATAGTGTTTAGGACATGCATGTATATATCAAATCAATGAAAGACTGAATGTACGAGATATAGCCACAGTCGAAGGTGATTGGTTGAAGTCCTTGCAGTGAATGTGGCGGGGTTTATTTTTTGTAGTTTTTTTTTCGGCGGAGTTTGGTGGGGAGGTGGGAACTGCCCGTGTTTCTCACACCAAGGTTCGAACCAGCGACCACGGTGGTATGAAAAGTCTCGTACATATTTTCCATGGCGACCGCCTTGTTTACTCTTACCTCTGCTCCAAACATGCAAGACCTCGTGTGACCATCTCGCGTGGCAGCTTTCCGTCTTCCCACCATTGTTTACTGTGCATTCCTCGCTTTCGTTTTTGCAGGTGGCACTGGAGTGGGAGACGAAGTGGTTCGGAGGGCCCATGGGAGGCTTGAACGAGCACAACAACGCCGCCCTGGAGGATCTCGCGGAAACCTTGGGACATAGGTGGGTGTGTTAGGGGCCTCGTCGCATGTGTTTCAAGTTTTTTTTTTCGGTAGTCTTCGCCGGTTACACCACGAGCGGCGGTTGTCCCGTCCTGCCGGGCACCGCAGTTGTGTAGGGGCTCCGTGTGTACCTTTCGAGCCTCTCATGCCGCAGTTGGTATACCACCAGGGGCGGCGTCCCATCCGCGTGTACCCCCGAAGACAAATATATCAATAGTGTACTACTCCCTTCCGTGGACAGACCAGCCGTCTTTGGACAACGAAACAGAATCGGTTCACGCGTATTGGTTGCATGATTTCCAACCAAATCTGTAAATCCAACGGTTCACACATGTTTTTGCCTCCGTACCACGCACTTCTTCCTTTCGACCCTCTCACCTATCAGAGCGCGGGAGCTGTCGCTGGACAACACGAGGGACTCCCCGTTCGCCCTCCTTGCCAAGGAGAACGATATCATGTGGGGGGGAGGCATGCCTTATTATATCACCGTCGTAGCGCTTAGGGTCATCAACAAGGCCGACTCTACCTCAGAGGTGCCTCGACGCTGGGTATGATACCCCCATCTCTGCGTGTTGGTGCTTTTCGTCATAATGCCCCCCCCCCCCCCCCCCAAATTTTCCAAAAACTTAACGGGCTTTCCGCCTGGGGAAGTGAAAACCCGGGCCCGGGAAAAACCCGGCTTGCCCCCCCCCGGTTTTTTGGGGAGCCAAGGTCATGGGCCTAACCCTTCGGGGTGGACCAATTAGAGAAAAAACCCCCCCCCCCCCATAACCTTAACGGGGGATACCAAATTGGACTGAAAAGGGCCCCCCTTTGGGAAAAAAGAAACAATGGGCCTCCGGGAATCGGCCCGGGGAAAAACT